CAGAGCCTTAAGCTACCTCAATGCTGCGTACTCAGTCCGGATGGAGGGCTGAACTTCTTGTTGTAATATGCCACTACGTACTCGATGTCATCCTTCTGGAACAGCACCCCACCGATGCCATCATCACTAGCATCACAGTCCAAGATGAATGGTTGAGTTGGATCCGGATACGGGAGCACCGGGGAGCTGGCCAAGGCATCCTTTAACTGGTCGAAGGAGCCTTGACTCTCAGTAGTCCACACAAGTTTCTGCCACTTCTTAGTCAGCTTGTGCAACGGTGCTGCGACCTTGGCGAAGTTCTTCACAAATCGACGGTAGTAGATACAAAGGCCAAGGAAACTACACAGCTCCCTTATACAAGTTGGCACTGGACAGTTTCTCACCACCGCCACCTTCTCTGGGTCTGTGCGTACTCCGTCTTCACTTACTATATGTCCCAGATATTGAACTTCTTTCTGGAACAAGTAACATTTATTTGGGCTCAGTTTAAGGTGTGCAGCCTGGAGCCGGTCAAATACTTATTGCTCGAAAGTTTTGCCAAAGACAAACACGTCGTCCAGATATATGAGGGAAGTCTCCCAGTGCAAGCCTTCCACAACCCTTTCCATACGGCATTCGATGGTAGCTAGTGCATTGCACAGGCCAAATGGAATAACTTTGAACTGCCACAGCCCCTGTCCAAATGAAAATGATGTCTTTTCCTTGTCTTCCTTAGCCATCTTCACCTGATGATACCCGGACTTCATGTCGAGTGTTGAGAACTAATTGGCACCTGTCAGAGCATTCAGTGTGTCATCGATTCTTGGCAAGGGGTACGAGTCCTCCACCGTCACGTCATTGAGGGCGCTGTAGTCCACACAGCACCGCATTGAGCCATCCTTCTCCCTCACTAGGACGACTCCTGACGCCCACGGACTGCTGGACTTTTCGACCAGATCTTGGTGAATAAGACCCTCTACCGCCTTCTCCATTTCCTGGCGACGAGCTGGTGCTATCCTCTGAGGCGGCTGCTTGATCGGCGGTGATCTCCAGTGTCGATGTGATGCTGTACCAGGTCTGTACATCCAAAGGTTTAGGTCCCCTGCAAAGAAGACGTTCGTATACTTCAATAACAACTGTTCCAGTTGTATCATTTGAGTCTCATCATGGTACTGGGAGCTCGTGGCAAACAAGTTCTGCAAATGGTCGGGCAAACCATTCTTGTGCTTGCAAGAGTCCTCCTGTTTATGTCCAATTTTTTCACAATACCAGCAGGTTCCTTTAAATTTCTCCGTCTCTTGTACTTGGCCCTTTCGTGCCTTAAACCCAGAGCAAGACTCCGCCATGAAGCTTGGTGAACTTGACCTTACATAATATTAAAACTCCAGGGCTCTAGCCAAAGCTTCCTGTAGAGTTGCCGGCTGGGACTGCTCCACCTGAATCTTGAGCTGCGTGCTGTCCAATGAGTCCACAAACTAGTTCCTCAACAACATGACGAAGAGATCAGGTGATACTCCAAGGTACGCCCTATGAGCCAATGTTTCCAGGTCTTGAGCCAGCTGTTGCAGTGTTTCACCTCGATTACGGGTACGAGTACGGAATCTGGTTCTATAAACCTCATTTTGATGCTTGGTTCCATACCTTCGTTCCAGTACCTTTACCAGTGACATGTAACTGCTTCACTCTGATCCTGTCAACTGATTGAGAACTTCCATAGCCTCGCCCTTAAGATTCGTGGCTAATTTTACTGCACACTGCTTGTCGTCCCACCCGTTTTGTTCAGCTTGCAACTCAAACTGTGCTTGGTATACATCCCATGAGAACTTGCCGTCGAGTTCCTGTGGTTTCTTCTTCACTGGCTCTTTTGGATAGTTCATCATTTCACTTGATGTAGCTCGGGGTCTGAACTCAGGTGCTCTGTAATTCAACTCAACAGTTCCCTTTTCCACCCGCTCATCGTATTTTCCAGAATTCTCAACACTTTGCATTCCACTCAGAGCGTGCACAAACGATAGTTCACGCACTCCGTCACAGTTATAGGGGTCACTAAATCTTGGCTGATATCTTGCTGTTAGACAATTTTCCAGAGCTTCCATCCCACTCCTGATACCAGTGTTACGACCCTCCTCCTTTCACCGCTTACCCAGCTTCCACCACTGGTTACCAGCGGCTAGGGTCGTATGTACAGAAGCGGTGGATATCTCACGAGTGTTGTCGAATTACCGCTGGCTGTCCCGCCAGTCTCCGGTAACTTCCCGACGATTGGTATCAGTAACAATAGGCAGATAGATTTCCACTAGGTCACAGAAACACACTTATGCATTGTAGTCTTCTTTGATAAACAGTAATTCTTCACAACACTTAACAGGGCAATGTTTTCACAGCTTGAGTCCACACTTCCTTAGTCTTCTCACTTTATATTAATCACAACAATTCCACAATACTTGCACAACATTTGTCTTCAGTTGTTCTGCAAGGCTTATTCTTTACACTAGGAACAGAGGCGAGCGCCCGCACCCACTTATATACAAGTCGTCAAACGCCTAGAGCATTCTAGCGATGTCCAGACGCGGGCGATCGACTCGCGACATGCCTGGAGAATTCTAGAATGATCTAAACTTACAATAAGAAGTAAATCATAAAAAAAGATGCAATACATTACATAATTAATACATCAATATACAGTATACACGAAAATTTCACCACATTTGCCCAAATAACTGTTGCTTGGGACAGAAAACGACCAAAACACCGAGTCTACAAAATTATAATACAAATTTATGCCTCGGCATAACAATAGAAAAGAATTAGCAAGTAAATCAGAATATAAAAGATAATATAACTAAGAAAATTAAAGAAGCTTATATAAGACAGAAAATAACTTAGAAAATATAACCAAGGAAATTAAAGAAAGTTATATAAATTAAAGTAAAACAAAATATAAAACTTGTTAACCCCTTGCAGCTCTTCTCACTTTCTGTCTCATTTACACACAATTGCGGGATCTCAATTGTTTCTCTTACTGTTGACAACATTACATAACTATATTGTTTCTCACTCTTGATCTTCTTTTTTCATTTTTGTATTTATTATTATTATTATACGCACTGTTGGCAGATACTGGCCATACACTAGATCCTGAATGTATAAGAACCTGCTCCACTGTTGGTCAAGTCTGGTCTTCAAAGATGCTCACACTCGGTGCCGTCACAACACTCTCTGGAAGATTGTTCCAAGAGTTCACATTTCTCACTCCGAAAAAATTTGCTCTCACAGTTTTCTGGACTTGTTGCTTCTTCAACCTTGAGCTGTGACCCCTTGTGGGGCGGACGTCCGCCAGCTCCAGGTTTGTACATTCGACCGAATAGTGTCCCCAAAGATGTTTATACTGTTACGACCCTAGGCCTCTTAGGGTGTAACAAAATTACAAATTCAATTTCTCTTTATATTATAGGTCCAAGGAATAGATCCCACCAAAATTATCACCTCATTACTATGGGGTATATTGAAATACATGCAGTAGTTTAATTACAGAATATATTAACAAATAAACAATAAAATAAATATATCAGTATGTACAAAAATAAACAAATACAAGTTAAATCTGATCAAATAAATGACTCAACTGAGTGACAAAATAATGAACACAAAAGTAAAGACTTATTTAGTCTAGAAACTACGATGAACAACGTGGTCTATCCACCACACGAAACCTCATAAATAAGTAAGTTATTTTCCGTGGAACTCTAAAATATGATGAACAACATTCTTTCACAAATAATACTTTACGTGTTGTTATAAAAGTCGAGCAAGGTTTACACGTTATACCACTAGAAACATACTGTACAATATGAAAGGAGATATTCTATACTTCAATTTCAATTGTTTATTCCTTGATAGAGGAAGCGGGATCCTAGTGCTGTCACTAGGTACCCCTGTACAATGACACCAGAAGCATCTAGCAAGTGTGACAAGTATATACAGTATAAATATTATAAAGGGGCTTCCTAAAGCCTAAGGAAGGAAGGATATTCCTTTAACACATAATCAATGTTATTTACATATTATATGGCCAGTATGGGGAGGATCATCGTGTCTCCGTCAGGGGGTCGTGGACTCTGTATTTAACCTAGCAATGCCGGGGCCATACTAAAGTAAGCAAAGCGAGCGGACGCGGGCAGAAATGACGTCACAAACAAAAGACGTTCACGTTGCGAATCTACAACCAACGATGGAACGCTCACTCGTAACAATACACTTCGATTAAGTCGCCCTTCGCCCGTCTGTACTATAAGCTAGGAAGTTGCAGGCGCTCCAATCTCTCTGGGTAACTGAGGTTCCGTAGTGAGGGCACCAGTCTGGTGGCCCTCCTTTGGAAATTTCCAATCAAAAATTATTATATTTTCATTCCCTGCCCTGATGTGGGTCAGTGACCTGTGCCCGGGTAAGCTAATCCCCTTATAACAAAAAAAAAAAAAAATAAAGTTATTAATGATTCATTGACCATTCACATACATCATCTGAGTATAATTTTCACTACATTTAAATACAGTTGAAGCTTTCAACATAGACATACTGAATCTTGAATGCTTTTATTTTGCTTCAGCTACTGGTAAGTATACATCACTGACAGCTATCTCGGAGTCATATATATATATATATATATATATATATATACTGTTATGCCGAGGCATAATTGTCGTATCATATTTTGTAAACTCGGTGTTTTGATTGTTTTCTGTCCCAAGCAGCAGATATTTTGGCAAATTTAGTGAAATTTTCGTGTATATATTGATGTGTTAATTATGCAAGAATATTCTACAATGGATTTGTTCTGATTTACTTACTACTGTAAGCTTCGATCAGAGTAGGACGTTCTAGAATCTCCCAGGCGTCTCAGAGTGATTGTAGGATGTTCAAGAAGTGTCTGGCAAGGCACGCGACTGTCTAGGACAGGGGTTCCCAAGCTTTTTCTAGCACGACCCCATCCAGTGTTGTCAACTATCCAGTGTGACCCCAAATCATTGAACAAAGTCAAAAGACTCATTCGGTAACTCTGGGAATCTGTCACTGAAATTCACTGTCAGATTTTGCAAATATTCCAGGAGATCCTGTTTCTCTTCCGTGAGATCCAGTGTTTCGTCAAAATCCACATCCATCGTAGCTGTAAATTCCAAGTAGTGGTGAAAATGAGAGAAACTGTCGGCTTCAGCTTGTTCTCGTAGTATCGTCAGCTTGCTGACAAAAGCCTTTACTGCACACTGAAGGTCACACACCCATTTACCTTTCCCTTGAAGTTCAGTGTTGAGCTTATTAACGTGCTCAAAAACATCCGTCAGAAGTGCAAGGCGAGCAAGAAAGTGAGGATCACGAAAACAATTAGCATTCTTATGACCCCGATCATGCAGGAAGGATGCCAGTTCACTGCGAAGGAGGAAAACCCTTTCCAAGGTTTTTCTCCGTGACAGCCACCTGACAGCAGTACGTATCAGCAGTGTGTGGTGATTAAAATTTTCAGCAATGCACAACTGTTTGAACATGCGGGAATTCAGGTCCGTAGCCTTCACGTAATTGACAGTTGCAATGACTACCTGCATCACATCAGAGAAGCTCGGAGACATGTCTTTTGATGCCAGACTCTGGCGATGGATGATAACATAAGAACATAAGAACATAAGAATGGAGGAAACTGCAGCAGGCCTATTGGCCCATACTGGGCAGTCCCGTTTACACCCAACCCCTCTTGCTCATATAAGCATCCAACCTATGTTTGAAGCTATTCAGCGTATTCGAGTTAATGATGATATTTGGTAACTTGTTCCATTCATCCACTACTCTGTTTCCAAACCAGTGTTTACCTATTTCACGCCTAAATCTAAATTTGTCTAATTTAAAACCATTGTTACGAGTTCGCTCCTGGCTGGATAGTTTGAGTACCTTTGTAATGTCCCCTTTGTTTAGCCCTGCCTTCCACTTGTACACCTCTATCAGGTCACCCCTCGCTCTACGTCTCTCGAGGGAGTGCAAATTAAGATGCTTTAACCTGTCTCTATACTCAAGGTTCCTAATGCCCGGGATTAGTTTTGTCATTCTCCTCTGAATTCTTTCCAAGATTTCTATATCCATTCTGTAATACGGTGACCAGAACTGAACTGCGTAATCCAGGTGTGGTCTCACAAGAGCAAGATACAGTTTTAGGATGACCTCGCTAGTCTTGTAACTAACACTCCTTTGTATGAACCCAAGTACTTTATTAGCCTTGTTACGAGCAAAAACACATTGTTTACTTGGCTTAAGGTTCCTACTTATCATTACTCCTTAATCTCTCTCGCAGTCGGATTTTTCTATGGCATCGTTGTTCATCTGGTATCTGGTTTCCCTGTTTACATCTCCTATACTGAGTACTTTACATTTGTCCACATTGAATTTCATCTGCCATTTTTCAGACCATTCGAAAAATTTGCTTAGATCTTCCTGTAGTTTTGCTGAGTCCTCGTCAGATTTAATAACACGTCCTATTTTAGTGTCATCAGCAAATTTACTTAAGTTGCTGTCTATGCCGATATCTATGTCGTTTATGTATATAATAAATAATAATGGTCCAAGTACTGAGCCCTGGGGAACTCCACTTGTGACGTTGCTCCAATGGGACTTAGTGCCGTTAATGCTCACTCGCTGTTTCCTGTCCTGTAACCACGCCCTAATCCATTTAAGGATGTTACCTTTGATGCCATGAGCTTCTACCTTTCTAATTAGTCTTTCGTGGGGACTCTGTCGAAGGCTTTGCTAAAGTCGAGATATACCACATCATAATTGTGCCCCTCGTCCACCGATTCGAAAACTGATGAAAAGAATGTTAATAGATTAGTTAGACAAGAACGTCCGCTTGTGAAGCCATGCTGGGAATCATTGATCAATCGGTGCTTCTCCAGGTGATTTCGAATAGAGTTTGAAATGATTGCTTCCAGTAATTTGCCTACTATTGATGTTAGACTGATTGGGCGGTAGTTAGAGGATAGTGATCTATCCCCCTTCTTGAAAATCGGTATTACATTCGCTATCCTCCAGGATTCTGGTACTACACCTGTTTTTAAGGACATGTTAAACAACTTTGCTAAGGGCATACTAAGCTCTTCCTTACATTCCTTTAATACTCTGGCAAATATCTCATCGGGACAAGGTGACTTATTAGGCTTTAGTTTGTCTATTTGCTTACTAACATCGTTACTAGTCACTACTGTCTCGCTTAATTTGTTTTCTTCACTATCTCTGAATAGAGTCGGTGCCTCGGGTATCATGTTTAAATTTTCGGTGGTGAAAACTGTTGAAAAATATTTATTCAAATTATTGCTCATTTCTCTGTCGTTATCAGTGAGCTCGCCGGTGTCGGACCGTATTGGTCCAATCTTTTCTCTTGTTTTAGTTTGATACATTTGGTAGAATCCTTTGGGGTTTGTCTTCGCCTCCCTTGCTATCCTTACCTCATTATTCCTCTTTGCTTTCCTTATCTCGGTTTTAACCCTACTCGCCAATACCCTATAATAGTCCCGGAGGTGAATTTCGCCACGATTTATCCTTCTACCTATAGCCTTCCTTTGGCTGATGATGTTTTTTAAATAATTATTTATCCATTTAGGGTCATTGTTGTCTGATCTGAGTTTTTTGTATGGTATGTTCTGCTTTTGTGCATTAAGTAACTCACTATTTAAATTGTCGTGGAACTCGGCAATCTCAGATCTCGTTATCAGGTCGGTGTCATCTGTCAGGTTCACGGCCAAGAGCGACACCCCCTCTCTCAGCTGCCTCTTTAAACTGTCAAAGTTCGCCCTTCTGAAATCTGGTACTTTAGTGGAATTTTCCTTGCGTCTGCCCTGAAAATCTAACTGGAATCTAATTTCTTTGTGATCTCTGTTTGCAAGTTCGTTCCCTACCTCGACACTGCTAATGAGGTTTTCTCTGTTTGACAGAACTAAATCGAGTATATTATTACCCCGTGTGGGTTCGGTTATATATTGACTTAGAAAACAGTCCTGTGATCTTAGAAAACAGTCCTGGATCGTCTCGAGAAAATCCTCTGATTCTGAGTTACCTGTAAGGTCAGTCCAATCTATTTGGCCAAGGTTAAAGTCGCCTACTATACAGACTTTGTTGTGTATGGAAGCCCTGCTCATTTCATCCCAGATAAGTCCCTCATTGACTCTTTCAAGATTGGGAAGTCTATATATTACTCCTGTGATTAATTTTTCCTTACCGTCGATTAATTCTATCCAAATTGTTTCTGTATTCTGCTCAGTTTTTATTTCCTTATTTATTTCACACTTCAGATTATCCCTAACATAGATTGCTACTCTGCCTCCTTTCCTGGTCTGCCTATCGGTATGGAACAGTTTGTAACCCGCAATTTGGTATTCGACTGGTAACTCACGTGTGTCTAGGTTGATCAATGTTTCAGTGAATGCTATTATATCGATTTTTTCGGTACATACCAAGGCCCTAATATTACATACCAAGGTTTGCAGTGGTTTGTTTTAATGTGAGGATGTTTTCTTGATAAAATTCCACGCAATCCAATGTTCTTGCCCATCATTGATGGGGCACCATCCATGCTGCATTCAGTTACCTTACTCCATTCTAAGTTGTTTTCAGTGAAGAACTTATCTATAGCACTGAAAATATCCTCGCCTCGTGTTGTAGTTTCAAGTGAAATACAAGCAAGCAGTTCCTCAGCTACTGAGGATTCCTTAAGAAATCTTCCGAAGATCAGAAGCTGCGGCTGTGATGTAATATCAGTTGACTCGTCCACTGCCAGGGCTGTCCATGGGGAATTTCTGAAGTCTTTCAAAATTTGCTCTTTCAGGTCTGCTGCAAGACACTGGAAGCGTCTTGTCATTGTGTTATTATTCAGAGTAGCATCATCAACCGCTTCAGTTATCTTTTTGGCAAATGGTTCACCCTCAAATACTTCGCAAAAGTTCCTTAAAGTTGGCTTTATGATAGCCTCACCCTCCGTAAAAGGACGTTTTTGCTGAGCAATGAGAAAAGCTGTCTTATATGAGAACATTTCCACCCTTTCCTTGTGAGATAGTGCTCTGCTTAAAATTGATTGAGACTTGGTTAGATTTTTATGACGATGATGAAAAATTCTTTTACGAGCCTCTTCTGAAAGTACAGCAACATTTGTGTGAGTTTCCATGTGTCTCTGTAGTTTGTTCGGCTTCAAAGATTCCTCAGCAAGTTCTTTAAAACACATAACACAAATCCCTTTACCACTGACGTCAGCTACACCAAACTTGTCGAGGACTAACTCCTAGACTCTAGGAGTTAGTCGCTCGCTTCTGTTCCTAGTGTAAAGATTAAGCCTAGCAGAACAACGTAAGACAATTGTTGTGCAAGTATTGTGGAATTGTTGTTATTAATATAAAGTGAGAAGACTAAGGAAGTGTACACTGGTAGTGTGCCGACTATATATTCGAAGTGTGGACTCAAGCTGTGAAAACATACCCGATCATCGGGAAGTTACCGGAGACTGGCGGGGCAGCCAGTGATAATTCGACAACACTTGTGAGCAGTGCCGGATTTAGACCTGTGGAGGCCCATGGGCAGCCTCTTTGTGGAGCCCCCCTCATTATAACTACCCAAGAGGGTGGGGTGGCGAGTGAAGCGAGCCTAAACATCTGGGGGTTCCGGAGGGAGCTGTAAGCCCCCGGGAAAATTTTGAAATTTGAACACTTCTTTGGAGAATTTTGAAGCCATATGCAGTTATATTGAGGAAATTAGAACACAGCACCCTGATGGCATTCGTAATGGAAGTGATAATGAAAAAAAAATATTTTATTTGTTTTTTTAATTTCAATTTCGTTATTCCATGTAGTTCATTTTCAATCAATATATGTTTGTGGAATTCTAAATATATTATTAGCAACACAAACAATAGCATTCATTAAAAATATACTGTTCATAGGAAAGCCAGGTATTCATGAATTTCAAGGAGTAGCTAGCCTAATTTCTATCACGCTTCTTGCTGAACATAGTTTTACGTGATGGAATAGATAAACATGAATTTTAAAGAATGAAAATAAAATAATCAAAATGAATAAACAAATAATTAAAATATTGTAATATGTGGAGGCCCCCAGATTGTGGAGGCCCCTGGGCAGCTACCCACTTTGCCCACTCCTGAATCCGGCCCTGCTAGTGAGATATCTACTGCTTCTGTACAGTCACAATCCAAAGTTTCGACACCCCCTGGCTGGGTGTTCGCCGAGGCCAGGGTTGTGGTAAGGCTGGGTGATCTGACGCAGACTAGTTCAGCAATGTGGTAACGAGGCACTACGATGGTGAGGTTCACTTTCCACCACCACAACACTCGGAGTCTCATACCACACGAGCACAGGAAGGAACTTATTGCGAACTTTGACATGGCATGAACTTGTATAACAAATGCATTCATAACATTGTTGCCACACATATCAATAACATGTTAAGATTGGAGCATGAAAAACTTTGCCCGGTCCCAAAACACTGGCTTGGAACCACTGGATGCGAGTCCTTGTATTGCACATTGTTACGCCGTCTCTTAATTTACTTAAATATCCAGGATCTAGGCGTAACCAAACAAAAAAAGTGAAGTAAATTAAAAGGGAATAAAAATAAATAAAGTAAACCTTTAAGAATTTAATTTAATTAAATATTAACACAATAAAGAGCCTCGTAGGCTGTCACAACAAATTGATTCACCATCGAAACTTTTAAGACACAAGTGATACTAAACATCGAAACATCAAAAGAATAAAAATAAAGCATTGGATTACGTTAACACTGCATAAACATATAGAAACTAACACTGAAATTAACTAACGTGAAACAACACTGAATTACTTAAATGTAACGAAGCAAATACTGATGGACACATAAGAGACATGAATAGGTACTCACATAGATGTACCACATTGGTGGCGACAGGAACAATCACAGAAATAAAATGAAGTATAAGTAACAGGTGACAAGTGTCACTCAAAAGAACGTGAACTGATTGACAAGGTGGACTGGACTCAACTCCGTCAGTTGGTGGACCACTATATATTATATAGGGCCAATTCCTGCCCAAAACCAGCCTGTGAAACATGGGTCGTTTAACGATGCAGATGGTCGTTAGAGCAACAAAGAATGCTTGTTACAATACTAAATGAAGAAATAAGATGGGCTTGAACAAATAATAACAGTTAAAACCTCAACAGCACAGGGTAACGTGACTAGATTATATAATAGTAAATATAACACATCATTACAGGAATAATATGGAACAACATGGAAGCATGTTACATATAAAAAAATAGAAAAATACGACACGGTCGTAACAACACGAATCATCAGAGTGGCCGGCGGCCGAATTTTGTCACGATACTGTTACTCCATCAAGACGTGATGTTTATCAAAATTCATATTTCATAACTGTGTCAAAAACAGCCCAAGTTATGTGAGCCAACAATGTTATGAAATAAATTTTGTTATGCAGGTTCATGTCTTGTCAAATTTCGTATAAATTACGTGTGCTGTGAGTCTCTGAGTGTTGTGGTGGTGGATGTCTGGGTTCGATCACCCAGCCTTACCTCAACCCTGGCCTCGGCGAACACCCAGCCAGGGGGGTGTCGAAACTTTGGATTGTGACTGTACACACGACCCCATAGCTGCTGGTAACAGGGTGGTAGCTGGGTAAGCGGTGAAAGGAGAAGGGTTGTAACAATACGATACAGGGAAAGATTACAGGAATATATAGAATAGGGACGGTACCTTTCATTAAAGAAAACAAATCTCTCTCTAGGGGTAGCTCGCTCGTTTCACACATGTTAATATATTATCAGTGTAACTGCGCCCATGACATTATGACGGTTGCTCATTGTCTTATCGCAAGCTATTTTAATTACCCTTGTGGAGGATAAAGACCGTCTACAAGAGTTCATCTGTGAACATGGACTAGTTGGCAGGACGTGTAAGTATGTGGCAGAAAACTGAACAAGGAATATGGATATGTGTTTAACAAACGGCCTTACTCTTACGAGCAGAAAAGATGAAAAATTAAACATTGTGGCTTCAAGAAAAGTGCTTTCAGTGGTACATGGTTTTCAAACATTAATTTAAGTGTTAAGGAGTGTTTTTGTTTAACTAAAATTGAACCCAAATTTCTGGAGATACTATTTGCATGACACTAAGCATGAAAATGAAAAGGAGAATGAACAGAACCTAACAGAACATAACCTAACCTCCTTAACCAAAGTAACCTACCTAACATTACGTATCTTCCAATTTGGACCTCCGCCATATAAGACAGAAAGTTAAGTAAGTTTCTTTAATTAGGTTGTTTAGGTTTTTATTTTTCTACCCTGTTCACCACTGAACGGCTCGTTACCCTCTTGGGCGATCGGTCACGTTTCTGTTACGCACTGTTGGCAAGTACTGGGCATGCACCGGTTCCTGAATGTACCTGAACCTGCTCCAGTGTTGGTCAAGTCGGTGCCGTCACAACACTTTCTGGTAGATTGTTCCAAGAGTTCACAACTCTCACTCCGAAAAAGTTTGCCCTCACAGTTTTTTGGACCTGCGGCTTCTTCAATCTTGAGCTGTGACCCCTTGTGGGGCGAGCGTCCGCCAGCTCCAAGTAAGGACACTCGAGTGAGTAGTGCCCCTTGAGATGTTTATACACCTCAATTAGGTCCCCCCTTGCCCGTCTGAAGTAAATGCTAGGCAAGTTCAGGTGCTCCAATCTCTCAGGGTAGCTGAGGTGCCGAAGTGCAGGCACCAGTCTGGTAGCCCTCCTTTGAACATTTTCAATTCACTGACAGTCCCTAGAATATCTCGGGGACCAGACGGGGTGACGGTACTCCAGATGGGGCAGAACTTCACTCTTGAAGATCGTTACGAGGGACGGACCGTCTAGATATCTGAACGACCTTCTTGTAAGACCTAATAATTTATTTGCCTGATTTACCTTCTTCTCGCAATGGCCCGAGAACTTCAGCTTTTTGTCAACATACACACATAGGTCCTTCTCACGTTCAATCTCAAATAGTGCAGTTTCTTCATCGCGTTGGGACATATGATACGCCTCCTTACCGTTGGTACGCCCCAGGTGCATCCTCTTACATTTCATGACATTGAATCTCAGCAGCCATTTCTTCTACCATTCTTGGAGCTCACAGAGATCCTTCTGTAGCTCTTCACAGTCCCGAAATAACTTGGCGTCATTAACAATCATTTGTATGGAGGAGTGTACAACGTCAGGCATGTCATTTATGAAACAAACAAACAACAGCAGGCCCAATACACTGCCCTGTGGTACCCCGCTTGTGACAGGTACAGATGATGATTTCGTGCCATTAATCACCACACACTGCTTGCGGTCATGTAGAAAGTCTTCTATCCATGCTAGGATATTTCCCCGAATTCCGTACCCTTCCAGTTTGATTTTCAGCCTTTCGTGGGGTACACTGTCGAAAGCCTTGGCAAAATCTAGGTATTTATTGTCGATATTACCAACCCGTTCCAAAATATGGGTTCAAATATCCATTACCATGAGCATTTGTGTTAAGCAGGAGCGCCCCGGCATAAAACCGTGTTGGCAATCCTTTACAAGGTTGTTTCGTAGTAGATGTTCCATCGCGGCATATCTGATAATACTCTCAAGTACTTTACATATTATGCTGGTCAGGCTCATCGGTCTTTAGTTGTTCGTGGAGTGACTATCGCCCTTCTTGAAGATACGACCCACATAAGCCACTTTCCATTCACTGGGGACCATTTGTTCATCCAGGAATTTATAGAACGGGATCTTCAGGGGCTCGGCAAGCTCGTTGCACAACTCTCTTAGCACTCTGAGATGCACCATGTCAGGGCCGAGACTTCTGTTATGTTCTGTGTGTTCTCGTTTCCATTTTCGTGTTCAGTATCGTGCAAATAGTATCTACAGACATTTGGATTCAATTCCATATGTTATTTCTGGTGCTATGCGGTCTCCTGTTATTTAGAGAAAACTATATAAGGGATAGTTGTTGGTTTATTTTGAGGTTTATTATTTGTTCTAGGTTTTTCTGCCATGGTGTAGGTCAGGTTCATGGACCCCCCCCTTCCTAATCTGCACACCTGAATTCCCGCATGTTCAAACAGTTGTGCATTGCTGAAAATTTTAATCACCACACACTGCTGATACGTACTGCTGTCAGGTGGCTGTCACGGAGAAAAACCTTGGAAAGGGTTTTCCTCCTTCGCAGTGAACTGGCATCCTTCCTGCATGATCGGGGTCATAAGAATGCTAATTGTTTTCGTGATCCTCACTTTCTTGCTCGCCTTGCACTTCTGACGGATGTTTTTGAGCACGTTAATAAGCTCAACACTGAACTTCAAGGGAAAGGTAAATGGGTGTGTGACCTTCAGTGTGCAGTAAAGGCTTTTGTCAGCAAGCTGACGATACTACGAGAACAAGCTGAAGCCGACAGTTTCTCTCATTTTCACCACTACTTGGAATTTACAGCTACGATGGATGTGGATTTTGACGAAACACTGGATCTCACGGAAGAGAAACAGGATCTCCTGGAATATTTGCAAAATCTGACAGTGAATTTCAGTGACAGATTCCCAGAGTTACCGAATGAGTCTTTTGACTTTGTTCAATGATTTGGGGTCACACTGGATAGTTGACAACACTGGATGGGGTCGTGCTAGAAAAAGCTTGGGAACCCCTGTCCTAGACAGTCGCGTGCCTTGCCAGACACTTCTTGAACATCCTACAATCACTCTGAGACGCCTGGGAGATTCTAGAACGTTCTACTCTGATCGAAGCTTACAGTAGTAAGTAAATCAGAACAAATCCATTGTAGAATATTCTTGCATAATTAACACATCAATATATACACGAAAATTTCACTAAATTTGCCAAAATATCTGCTGCTTGGGACAGAAAACAATCAAAACACCGAGTTTACAAAATATGATACGACAATTATGCCTCGGCATAACAGTATATATATATATATATATATATATATATATATATATATATATATATATATATATATATATATATATATATATATATATATATATATATATATATATATATATATATATATATATGACTCCGAGATAGCTGTCAGTGATGTATACTTACCAGTAGCTGAAGCAAAATAAAAGCATTCAAGATTCAGTATGTCTATGTTGAAAGCTTCAACTGTATTTAAATGTAGTGAAAATTATACTCAGATGATGTATGTGAATGGTCAATGAATCATTAATAACTTTATTTTTTTTTTTTTTTGTTATAAGGGGATTAGCTTACCCGGGCACAGGTCACTGACCCACATCAGGGCAGGGAATGAAAATATAATAATTTTTGATTGGAAATTTCCAAAGGAGGGCCACCAGACTGGTGCCCTCACTACGGAACCTCAGTTACCCAGAGAGATTGGAGCGCCTGCAACTTCCTAGCTTATAGTACAGACGGGCGAAGGGCGACTTAATCGAAGTGTATTGTTACGAGTGAGCGTTCCATCGTTGGTTGTAGATTCGCAACGTGAACGTCTTTTGTTTGTGACGTCATTTCTGCCCGCGTCCGCTCGCTTTGCTTACTTTAGTATGGGCCCGGCATTGCTAGGTTAAATACAGAGTCCACGACCCCCTGACGGAGACACGATGATCCTCCCCATACTGGCCATATAATATGTAAATAACATTGATTATGTGTTAAAGGAATATCCTTCCTTCCTTAGGCTTTAGTAAGCCCCTTTATAATATTTATACTGTATATACTTGTCACACTTGCTAGATGCTTCTGGTGTCATTGTACAGGGGTACCTAGTGACAGCTCTAGGATCCCGCTTCCTCTATCAAGGAATAAACAATTGAAATTGAAGTATAGAATATCTCCTTTCATATTGTACAGTATGTTTCTAGTGGTATAACGTGTAAACCTTGCTCGACTTTTATAACAACACGTAAAGTATTATTTGTGAAAGAATGTTGTTAATCATATTTTAGAGTTCCACGGAAAATAACTTACTTATTTACGAGGTTTCGTGTGGTGGATAGACCACGTTGTTCATCATAGTTTCTAGACTAAATAAGTCTTTACTTTTGTGTTCATTATTTTGTCACTCAGTTGAGTCATTTATTTGATCAGATTTAACTTGTATTTGTTTATTTTTGTACATATTGATATATTTATTTTATTGTTTATTTGTTAATATATTCTGTTATTAAACTACTGCATGTATTTCAATATACCCCATAGTAATGAGGTGATGATTTGGTGGGATCTATTCCTTGGACCTATAATATAAAGAGAAATTGAATTTGTAATTTTGTTACACCCTAAGAGGCCTAGGGTCGTAACAAAAAATTGGTGACCTTGCCAGGATAGATCTCTTTATCACTCATTAACTATTGGGAATATTTAGATATAGAGATTCTTTATTGAATAATCATGGCTACTTTTGGTGTTAAGGAGTTTGTTGAGAATCCATCCGTGAAAATGTTGAAAGACTGTGTTCTACGAAAGGATGATTGAATGAAACTTGCTGATACATATGAAATTGAGTATCGACGTAGTCAAAGGAAGTCTGAAATTCAAAATGCAGTATTAACTGAACTTGTGAATGAAGAGGTGCTACCGAAGGAGGCACTGACTTTGCGTTCATTTGACCCCAGGGAAGCTGTAGAGATGAGAAAGTTAGAAATGGAGCAAGGAAGGCTAGAACGAGAAAAGGATAAGTTGCACGAGTTGGCTTTGAAGGAAAGAGAAGAAAGGGAAAGAGAGCGTGAAAGGCAGCATGAATTAGCGTTAGCACAGGTTAGTAGTAGAAGACCAGACTTACAGGCATTGTCTTTAGAATCTGAGACAAAATTGTTTGATGTGACAAAACATTTGAGACTTATGCCTGCCTTTGACGAGGAGGATCCAGAAGCGTTTTTCATGCAGTTTGAGAAAATTGCAGTCTTTTCAGTGGCCTGGAGAGTCGTGGATTGCTATGATTCAAAGTGTGCTCACTGGGTCAGCTCGTTCAGCATTTCTGTCTTTGTCAAGTGAAGTTTATCGTAGTTATAAGTTAGTGAAAGAAGAAATTCTTAAGGCTTATGAACTCATTCCTGAAACATATAGAGTGAAATTTAGGACTATGAGAAAGACTGATGCTCAGTCATATATAGAATTTGTTTATTCATTGAGTAAAATGTGTGGAAGGTGGATAAAGTCTAGCAAGATGGAAACTTTTGAGGAACTTGTTCAGTTGGTGATTTTAGAACAGTTCAAGAGAGCCACTCCAAGAGATATACAATTGTACTTAGGAGAGAGAGATATTAGTAATGTTCATAAAGCTGCTGCATAAGCTGATAGCTATGCCCTTACTCACAAAATGCATCCTGTTAAATCTCAAAATCATTCAGGTGGAAAGGGTTTTGTAACCAAGGAAAAGGGTGGTAGGCAGGATAGTAGTACTGCTTCTTCTAGTAAAGTAAATTTTCGTGGAAACTCGGGTGAGTTTTCCAAGACCTATGCCAAGACTAAAGCATTTGTCTGTTTTTACTGTAAGAAACCAGGTCATGTGATTGCGAATTGCCCTAAATTGGAAGCAAAGAAGGAAGAGCCAGTGCTCTCATTCGAACCTCTGGAGAAGTTTGACAAAACTTTAGTGAGAAATCGCCCAAAGGATGATTCTTTTGAACCTTTCATGTTTGATGGTTCAGTTGTAGTTGAAGAATCAGGTGATCAGTACCTTGCGAAGATTTTGAGTGACACTGGTGCTTCTCACAGTATTCTGTTGAAAGGATCTGTTCCCTGCGTGGAAGATTCCTATACTGGAGAGCATTTGGTGCTTAAGGGTGTCGGTGGGGTGAACACTGTTCCTTTGTGTAGGGTGTTTTTAAGAACTCCACTTGTGACTGGTTGGGTGACTATTGGTGTTCAAGATTCTCTTCCTGTGACAGGGGTTACTTTTTTGCTGGGTAATGATATTGCAGGAGCCAGCGTGGTGCCAGATCCTGTGGTATCTTCGACTCCTACAGAGGATAATAATACTGGTTTAATTGAAGAAGAATACCCTGATTTATTTCCTTTATGTGCAGTTACAAGGAGCCAGACTCTTCGGAATAAGGTACAGACCGTTCCTTCAGTTGACCCTAAGCTCTGTATTGCTGATAGTAGTGCACCTGGCAATGATGAAAATGATTTAGGTATTGAGAATCTGTTTGACAGTCAGGATGATTCATTTGATAGTGACATTGGTGGGAGAGATGTGAGTGAAGCTAAAGATTCAGTTAACATTCATTCCCCAAAATCTGAAGCTGATCTCTCTTCTGGTGACAACATTACCATTCAGAAAGTACCTGTCACTAGGGAAAAACTGATAGATGATCAGCAGAGTGACTCGGAATTAGCTGAACTATGTAGGAAGGCTGTGGATATTGAAGAAGCCGTTCGCTTGCTTGTTTGTTACTTCATGGATTCAGGGTTACTTATGAGGAAGTTCAGATCTGTATCTGATCCTGCTGATGAGTGGAATGTTGTGCATCAGGTTATGATTCCCAGTTGTCACCGGGGAGAAATCTTGAAATTAGCACACGACTTTTTGGGAGGACATTTAGGAGTTAGGAAAACATACAAAAAGATTTTGTCGTATTTTTACTGGCCTGAAATGAAAGGTGATGTTGCCAGATACTGTAGAACTTGCCATGAATGTCAGATGGCTGGTAAATGGAATGAGGTCATAAAACCTGCTCCCCTGAAACCCATTCCTGTGGTAGATGAGCCATTTAGCAGAGTTATAATTGATTGTGTAGGTCCTCTCCCAAAAACTCGATGTGGCCACCAATATTTGTTAACAATCATGTGTACTACCACCAGGTACCCAGAGGCTATACCATTGCAAAACATCAAAGCAAAGAGTGTGGTAAAGGCTCTGACTAACTTCTTCACTAAATATGGCATTCCTAGAATTGTACAGTCGGATCAGGGTACTAACTTCACTTCTTTCCTTTTCCAGCAGGTGATGAATGAATTGGGTATTAAACAATACTTAGCTTCTGCGTACCACCCTCAAACCCAAGGTGCCCTAGAGAGGTTCCACCAGACTTTTAAATCAATGCTTATGAAATACTGTATGAAGGAGTACCACTTATGTTGTTTGCCATAAGAGAGAGTCCCCAAGATTCCCTAGGATTCAGTCCCTTTGAAATGATTTTTGGTCATGCTGTAAGAGGTCCTATGACTGTGTTGAAGGAAAGTTGGATAAGTAATCTGATAAAAGTCCCTTTGTCAGTGTATGTAGAGAAGTTTAAAGAGAAACTGAAGAGAGTAGGTGAGATTGCTCGTAAAAATCTGTCAGAAGTACAGGAGAAACTGAAAACGCAATATGATGAGCATTGTCAAGCTAGAGAATTTAAGCCCGGAGATAGAGTTTTAGCACTTATACCCCTGTATAAAAATCCCCTTCAAGCTAAATATGAGGGTCCAATCACCATAGTTAAGAAATTAAATGACCTCAACTATGTCATAGCGACTCCAGGCAAGAGAAAATTGGATAGTTTGATTCATATCAACAGGTTGAAACCGTATTTTGGTAGGAGTGAAGTGATTTGTTCGGTAACAGGAGGAGAGGAGGTGGTCCCAGACACTGATTTCCAAG